TAATATATATATATATAATTNTATATATATATATATATATATAGAAAGAATTTATAGGTAGCTATTATATATGTGTGGGCATGTGCATGTGTGTGTGTGTGTGCCAGAGCTACCTAAGAATTCTTTCTCCATATAATAATATCTTATATCTTAAGTTTCCGTTTTTTTTTTGGATACTCTATCATCTTACAATTCTCATTTGGATAACAACTGAGGGATTTTTAATGTTAGATAAATATGAGCGTTGTAATACTTATGATTGCATTTTGTAACAAATGAGATAAATTTTTTTGGAGGGAAGTTTTAGGAAACATTATCATTGGATATAAATATCAAATAGACGGGATTTATAATGAAAGAGAACTTAGGAAGGAATATTTTTAGAGAGAAATTCTCGGAGAATGGGAGGGGAAAGAGCTTGAGAACGAAAATGGAAAGTTAGGCTCCCAGTTGTTCTCCTATAGATTTAAGTTTCAGATTCTGTTACTTTTGTGGCCTAGGTTCATAACTAAATTTCACATATTGGATCTTCTTTGGTTGAATTTTGTTCTTTAATAAAACAAATATATTGGTGAAATTTGAGTTTCAGATTTGAAATTTGAAATTTCTGCCTGCTTAATTGAACTATATGGAAAAAATTCCCAACTGATCACTTGTAGAAAATGTAGTTCTTCATTTCTGTTGCTTTTAGCATATTGGGTTGTCTTCATCCAAAGTCTCTGGCTTTGGCTTCAGTTTGGGGGTGATATTTGTCCTTATTGGCGGAGTTTCTCTTGAGTATTGAAGAGGGTTGGACTTCTAACTGACATTCATGATGCTTGTTATTCATGTTGGATTGATTGCAAATAATATTCCTATCGCTTTTTCTATTGACTGTGCCGGGAACCTGGGTTGCATAAATGCTTCAATTGACTGAGTATGCCATTGTCTATTGAATTGTATTATACTTTCCCTTAAGAATTATCAAATTTCAATATCATTCAAAATTTTCAAACTCAGACTCAGATTGAGTTTCCATCAAGATTGCGTGCAAATTGCCTACACATTCCTCGCACCCCAAAAAAGTGGCTGTATAATAGGAAATTTGATGTGAGTTTTATTATTGATTTCTTAAAGGGGAGCTGAAAAATACCATCACTGAACTTGAAGAAAGCAATTGTAAACTGATGGCTTTGAAAGCTCAGAGAGATGCAGCACAAGGAGCATCATTTCCGGTTCTAAATCTCGGAAACACACATATCTCAGGAGAAAAGGCGAGGGATAAGATGAAAGAATTACATGACATGGAATCTACTCTTGATGAGCTCACGGTAATTAACCAGTCTTTTGTTCTACCTTCGTAAATAGGGAAAGTATATGCAGTTCATTGGACTATGGGATACCAGGGTTTCTAATGTTTTAGTAGGTTAACCGGGATTCGTATAGAAACTGAACCATCTTTCTTGTATAATTATTGAATAGGTTCAAGCTGAGAGTCGCCTTTCAGAGCTCAAGGCTGCTCATGAAGAAAGGATAGATATTTTAAAGCAGCTAGCCAATATACAAGTGAGTTTGTTTGAGTAACTACTCCTCACTATTTCTTTAACTATCTGCAATTCCTCCCTTTAATGACATTATGTCATTTTGCTGATGCACTAGCATGAACAATTGTTTTTGCTGGAATTTGATTATGGTGAAAATGCCTCTACCTTGCAGAGCTCCCTAAAGGATATGAAACAAATTTGTTCATCGAAATGTTATCTCTTGTTAAGTGATCAGCTTGAAAAGTCAAAAGCAGAAGTTGAGCGATACCAGGCACTTTTGGAGAAACTACAGGTGGTAACGGGTCGGTAGATTTGTTAGACACAGTTTGGGTTGTTTTGGTGTCTTGCTGTCTAGTTATTTTGTTTGGACAATAATGTTTGTTGTTTTGGTGATGCTCATGTGTTTCTTTCTAAACTTTCTCTTAGGTTGAGAAGGATAGTTATATTTGGAGGGATAGAGAAGTGAACCTTAAAGTTGATTTAGCTGATATTTCTAGAAGCATTGGTGCTAGTATTGAGTCTAGGGCAAGATATCTCGAGACAGAGTTAAAGAAGCAGGTTGATGAGAAGAATTTACTTGAGTGTAAGCTAGCTGCTGCCGCAAAGGAACCAGGTAATGAAATATTAGGTGGAGTTGTTAAAAATGGAAAAGATGGTTATGAACAAATTTTTACTTCGGACCACCATAGTCCATTGGTGTTATGAACATCTGATGTTATTTGCCATACTAAAAGTTAAGTCTTTTGATGATTTAAGAAAAATTTATAGATTCTATAACTTGGTATGACATCCATTTGATAATATCAGGAAGAAAAGAAATCATTGCGGAGTTTAAAGTAATGGTTTCCTCTCTGAACAAGGAAATGGGAGTGATGCAAGATCAAATGAGTAAATACAAGGAAGCTGCCATGGAAGTTCATTCTCTTCGTGCCATAGTTCAGTCACTATCTAATAGACTTGAGAGGAAGGTGAATGTTTTTGTATGCATATTATATTAAGCGTGCTGTATATGCTTGTATGTATCTTTTGGAGGACTAAAGGGGTGCTTTCAATGCAGACAAATGCGATTAAGACTCTCTCGATTGGATCTACTGAGCAAACATCTGAAATACAGAAGCTTCAAGCAGTAGTATGTTAACCTTTTGGTTATGTACTTTTTTTTTATTGGATAAATTTGACTTTTATACGTCAGCAGTAATTAATTTTTAGGGTTGTGAGTTAATTATCGATCAAAAACAATAAGAATGATTTTCTTTTTTTCATACTACTTGAAGAGTTGTGCTCTGGTCCATGTGTCTTAATGTTTATGTGTTAGCTTTTTGTTGATACAGGTTCAAGATTTGAAAGAAAGTGAACAAGAGTTAAAGCTGATTCTGGAAATGTACGGGCGTGAATCTACAGATCCCAGGTTAGATAGGAGTCCCCTTTTAAAGTTGGTTATCACACATTTTTCAATGTTTCATTTTGTTCTTTTGATACAAATCTTTTAATCTATTGCTAGATGTTTTCCGCTCAATACGCAAAGCATTGCTCGTACATTCTTTGATTGTTGGTCTAATTATTGATTTCTTAGACTTCTTTGGTAGATGTAAAAGTGATCCACCCTCATCTTGTTTAAAATTCGCTCAGGAATTCTCTGTAAAACATTCGATACCCTTCTTGGCAGGATTCTTTCGAGATCATTGACAATGTGATTGGAGAAAAAAAAGTACCAACTCACTAATGAAAGATTAGTTCCAGAATTGTAGCAGCATAGCCATATGCGAACTAGACTTGACAGTTACTTTGTTTCGCATGCTTACGCTTATTCTTGTGGTGTGATCATGGCTTCTAGTCTTTTTTTTTTTTTGGATAATGTTCACAATTGTATTGATGAAGAAAAAAAAGATACAGAGTATAGCATGTGTATATGAACATGTATACAAACTCAGGCATGCCTGCTTAGCAGGAGCCCCTTACAAACACCCAAATGGGAAAGAGAGAAAAAACAAAAACAACTCGATAGTGACTCAATTAGCAGGGAGAGAAAAGACTACTAAGTGGCTAAAGGATTGAGGCTTGCACCATGCCTCACTAAGGTATCAGCGGCAGCATTAGCTTCCCTAAAAACTTGCCTCCGGGAAATTCTGATGGATCCAGTAATAGAAGCAATTTCATCGAAAATCGGCTCAAGTCTCCATGGACAAGGAGCGAACCCTGAAGTGCAGCTGATAACATTGCTAGAGTCTCCTTCAGCCACTAATTCCTGGTTCCAGCTTAAGTCAAATCTTCGATGGCCCTCGAGCAAAGCCTCAGCCTCCGCAAAAGTGGAATCCAATGAGCCGATATGTGAGGAGAAATAGAGGACAGTGGATCCTTCAGAATTTCTGTAGAGGCCACCAATGCTAGAGGGGACTGGGTTGCCAAAGGAACAACCGTCAAAATTAAGTTTTAACTGGCCTACCTCAGGGGACCTCCACAGAGAAGAGCGAGGGATCCTCTGGGTCTTGAGATACAAAAGGTTATGCCAGTTGTGGAAGGTCTCCAGAGGAAAAGCATCTAAACGTGGTGGTTCCTGGTCCAGAAAGAAACATGGGCTCAATTTTTTATCTAGCATCAAGTGTTGGAGGCTTTTTCACCCCCTAAATATGCGACTATTTCTTTCCTGCCTAATTGTCCAAAGCCGGAGCTTGTCCAGGGGTTGCGAAGGCAGGAAGGGAAGAGATGAGGAGACTGAGTGACCCAAGTCCAGTTAAAACGGTGAAGAACATAGGACCACAGAGCAAAAGTAGTGTCACAGTGAATGAATAAGTGGGCATTAAATTATTCCTCCTTCAAACTCAGTACACATCTATTAGGTAAGGGGATTCCTCTCTTTTGTAGCTGGTCTTGAGTGAGTGCTCTCTTGTGTAAGGTGATCCAATTAAAAAATTGGGTCTTAGGTGGAATTGACAGGAACCATGCTTTAGCAGCAATGGAGAAAGAGGCAGCAGAAGAGGAGAGAGGAGGATGGAGAACTTGGTAGAAAGAGGCTACGGAGAAAATCCCAGAGGCAGTTGGGGACCAAATAATTTTGTCCTCTCCGTCCAGAGGAATAAATAATTGGACTAGAAAGGAGGAAAGAGCCGTGAATGCGTTAATCTTGTCCTCGGAGAGAAGTCCTCGAAAACTAGGATTCCAAACTCTAGAGGACCCCAAAGAAGGAAGCTATCGGCTACCATGGCGAAGGGATGAACAACGATTCTGAAGAGGGATTGGAACTGATCCTTCAGTGGTTGTTGTCCTATCCCAAAAGAGGACCCTGTTTCCATTTCTTGGGCGGAAGCGCACCTTTTCTAAGGAAATGTCTTTGCAGCGCAAGATGGATCTCCAAAAACCTGATATATGGCCACTGGAGCGGCCAGCAGGTAACCAAACATGGTCATCTCAGCAATATTTATGGGCCACGACTTCTCTACAAAGGTGTGTTGGCTGGGTGGCTTTCCAAGCAAAGCACGGTTAGTGGATCTAAGACTTCTGATTCCGAGTCCTACTTCAAGACTTGGGAGTGCACACTTTTGCCCAAGAGATAAGGTGAAATTTGTGGCCTCTCCCCTGACCAAAGAAAGTTCCTCATAATCCTCTCCAATCTAGCTTGAACTGAAGTAGGCATACGGAAGAGGGACATAAGAAAAAGGGGGGTGCTAGCTAGGGTGGCCTTAATATGAGTTAATCTGCCAGTGGAAAGACTTAAAATGGTAAGGGGTAGGCCCAAAAGGATTTGGTTGCAAGAGTTCTGAAAGATATGTGGACTTATGGCCTCATTGAGGGTATGGCCTTTAATAGAGTAGCATGGTGGACCATGATTCATGTAACCGACCCCAATTAATTGGTAAAAAGCTATGATGATGATGATGATGAATTTGCCAGTGGGAGAGAGGAATCTCCCTTGCATCCAGCCAATTTGCTATCAAACTTATAGGCTCCATTGATTAAGCATAGGGAGACCAAGTCACAAGGGAAGGCCCAAGTGAGAGGATGGGAGTTCCACGATTGTGCATCCCCAAGCATCAGCAAAACTAAAGACTGAGGTGCTGTCAAGGCCTACACCCAAACTCAAAGCATCAAAGAACAAGGAGCAAACCACTGCCTGAGGGGGAGCATTGCAAAAGTATCATCTGCGTATTGGAGGTGCAAGATTATTGGGCCAGAACTCCCAATTTGGAAGCCCGAACGAAAGCTCGCGAGATAGACTCGTGAAATGTTGGCACTAAATACCTCAGCTATGATGGCAAACAAAAAAGGGGATAAGCGATCCCCTTGCCTGAGGCGCCTCTGGAGGCTTGGAAATAACCCTTTGGAGAACCGTTAATGAGCATCGAATACGAGGGTTTAGATATGCACCCTTGCACTCATCTCCTCCACTTATCTCCAAAACTCATTCTATTAAGTAAGGATTTGCCAATCAACGTTGTCATATGCTTTTTCCCGATCAATTTTGATGACAAGGCCAGGGTCTTTGGAAAGGTGGTGTGAACGGATGCATCCATGGGCAATTACTGCCCCATTGAGGATCAATCGATCCTTAACAAATGCCCCTTGAGTCGAGATACAACCCAGGCAAGTGCAAGCTTGAGACGTGAGGTGAGGAATTTAGAAAGGATCTTTTAGGAGCTGTTGATCAGGTTAATGGGTCTAAAATCTTTAAGTTCTTTTGCTCCTTTTACCTTAGGAACCAAAGCAATGAAAGGAGCATTCATCCCTTGATGGATGATGCCTCAGGTAAAAAATTCCTCAAAGAAGGACAAAGTGGTAGACCGCAAAGTGGACCAAAAAGATTTGAAGAGAGAAATGGGGAAACCATCGGGGCCAAGGGCTTGGTCAGAGCTAAGGTTTCTCATAGCTTGGGTAATTTTGTCCTCTGAAAATGGTCTCTCAAGGGCAGCAACAACCTCGGGGGGAAGGTGGGAGAAAGATAAATATTCCATTTGAGGTCTCGGGCCGAGAGGCTTGGAAAAGAGTTGAGAGAAGAAATCCATAGCCTTCTGTTCTATAAGGGTAGGTTCTACTATAGTTTGATCTCCAACTTTTAGATGAGCAATAGAATTTTCCCTTCTCAGGCAGTTTGCAATCTAGTGAAAGTAAGCCGTGTTAAGGTCACCAAATTTGAGCCATTTTACCCTAGCTCTCCGAGACCAAAAGATTTCTTCTTTCCTAAAGGTAAGTTGAAAGTCAAGTTTGGCATTGGACCTTTGCTCAATTTCTCTGGGAGAAAGGGGAATGAGCTCCTCAGCAATGTCCAATGATTGGATAGTGTGAAGAAGGGAAGACTTCTGGGCCCTGAAATTTCCTGGTAACTGCGAGCTCCAAGACTTAAGAGAACACTTCAGGAGTTGGAGCTTCCTTTGAAGACCTAATCCGGCCCAACCTTGAACCAAGGGGGTGAAAGAAACCCACAGACCTCGAACCATAGAAGGGAAATTAGGCCTCTTCGAACCAAGCCAATTCAAACCGGAAGGGTTTGGGACCCCTCGAGACAGCCTGAGTGTCAAGAATGATGGGCCGATGATCAGATGTGGGCTATGTGGGATGATCACATTTATACTTGCCCTTTCTAGTAATTGAAATGGAAATTTTCCTTTGGAGTGGGCTATGTGGGATGATCACATTATACTTGCCCTGCTTAATTTAGAGCAATGAGGCTAACATAAGCTGTTTGATTAGAAGTGATATGTTACACAACTTTCTCTTTCTGATTGGCAAAAAGGAATGAATAGCATACACATGATTTTCTATTATACAATGCACAGGTGGGGTATCTGAAGCCTGTTCTTAAAACAGCACGCAAATTGGGAAAAAAGAGAAAAAAAAGAAAACACTGTAGTTTGAGAATAAAGGATGTTTTAATGGAACTGGTGCTGATCTCCACTGTCCATCAGGAGTACAGATGGTGGATGTGCCTTATGGCATACATATCTTGTGAATCCTAGCCAATTTTATTTTGGCAAAGTATGGTACCCTATTTTAAATGGGTGCGCAGTTTGTATAAGGCCGAGGCTGGCTCTAAACAATCAAAGGAAAGCGCACCTTCAAATAGTGTCAAAAAATGTGGTTTCAATATTGGAAATCTTTGTGATAGCCTTAAAATATATTTTCATCAATAATTATGAAATTTAAAGATTCAAAAATAGTGTAGATCGAGCAGATCTATGAAAACTTGAAAATCTTGAAATTGACGGTCCAGAAATTCATTACAAGATGCACTATTCCGAAATTTGAAATCCATTTTTTTCTCATGTCCATGCATCTTGAGATCGAGATGAGGATATTTGGGCATCTTTGAGGTGCACCCTAATTTGATTTGTTTAGAGACTCGCACTCATATAAACTTTTTCCATTTTAAATGACCTTCACTTACTATCCTCCAATAAATGAAAAGTCGGCCATCTGACCGCCTAGGCGGCCTTTTGCAAAAAACGCCTAGGCGTATTAAAGGTGGACAACATTAGGCAGACAAAACTAGGCGCCCGCCTAGGCAGTGTATATGGTGGGTGCATAGGCGGACTGCTCGACTTTGGTAGAAAAAGTTTTTTGGAAGGGGGAAAAATGTAATTTGACCTTCTTAAAATGGGGGATAAGGGTTTTGGTGGCCATTCTTGCCCCCAAAAACAATTTTAGTGAACTTTAGAGTGAGAAATAACTTGAAAAAAACTGGATTTGAAGATTTTTTGAGAGATCGAATGTTTTTTTGAAATCCTCGAATTGTCACGATATAAAAGGATATTCTCTCCAATCTTTTTGAGGCTTATAAAGGTTGTAAAAGAGGAGATTTGGGATCCCAAACATTTCGGTTTGGCCTGAAATCAAGTCCACTTCAAGAAGGTTGGTATATTTCAATAGTTTTGGTAAGTTTTTTCCCTTAATGTCTAATAATGTTATTATTTGCTATTTGTATTTTTTTTGATACTTTGTGATATATATTTGATATGTTATTGTCTATTTGGATTATTATTTTCCTATTTTGATATGTAGTTTGGGCTTTTGGGAAAACAATTTTATAAAAAAGTCCATTGCCTCCAAACTGAATGAATATTGTTTTTTACTTCTTTTTTTTTATAGTTTTATACATGAATTTACTTGTATGATTCATAAAGCATTTTTTTATTAGTTAGATTGATAATTGCTTAATGCTTATTAAATAATTACATGTGTAATATGTTTGTTCGATTCATAAACCATAATGTTATTCGTTAGTTTAATATTTGCTTTAATGCTTATTAAATAATTGCATGTATGATATTCTGTTTTGATTTTCTGTAACATCATGGCAATTTTGATCTGTGCTTCCGGCATCTTAACGATGTATTATGCACAAAACTTAAATATTAAATAAAAAAAGCCGACAATTCTATGTAAAATAAATTGGGGGGAGGTGTGGGGGATCCAAATTTTTTTTTTAAAAAAACACCGGCCACCTTTGGGTCTGGCGCCCGCCTTAGGGTCTGGGCGGTCTAGACCGCCTCCCGCCCCAACCCCCGCCCCCCGCCCCACCACTGCCTAGGTGGCCACCTCCGACTTCTTGAACATTGCTATCCTCTATTTGTCATGAATATGTGTATGGCTTTTATAGCTTTAGCAGAGGATTTAGCATGCTATCTGTTCTTTGTGGAGACATAAAATTTTTGATTGACGTGAACATTCCGTTATTTATAGTTGGTTAACATCCCTTTGGCAATATGTTTTTGTAAAAGAAATACTTTTTATTGTAAAAAAATTGTGATCTGTTTCCCTTTCGGCTACAGGGAAGTAGTAGAGGCAAGGAACATGGAATATAAAGCATGGGCGCATGTTCAAAGCCTGAAGTCAGCTCTTGATGAGCACAACTTGGAATTGCGTGTCAAGGCAGCAAATGAAGCTGAAGCGGTGTCACAACAAAGGCTAGCTGCTGCTGAAGCTGAGATTGTTGAGTTGAGGCAAAAGTTGGAAGAGTCTGGCAGGTTCGCCCTCTTACATATAAGAAGTTGTTTCTCCTCATTATTTAGATGCATCAGTGACAGCAAACATAAATATCTTTGGTTCAGAGAGATGTAATTTGAAATTATTTTTCTATATATTTTCATTTTATATTGGTCGCTATATTGAATAAATTTAGCATAGGTTATTTATTTAGATTTTATTTTTCGCTTTTAGGGATATATCGGTTCTTACGGAGGACCTGAAATCAAAAAATGAGGAAGGAGAGGCTTATTTGTCTGAGATTGAGGTTCTACTTCTTTCTATTTTACTCTATTGAATAATTCAGTTGAGTTGAACTGTCTTATAGTTGAAAAGGCTGAGTAGCATATGTGTTCTGTTCTGTGCAGATGATAGGTCAAGCATATGAAGATATGCAAACACAAAATCGGCATTTGCTACAGCAAATAACGGAGAGAGATGATTACAACATTAAGGTGATTGCAAATCTATAATTATTACATATCCACTAATTCATACTTGATAATATAACTGTTAGGGATGTGCTCTTAAATGTCTCATATCTGCATGAATTTAACTTCCAGTATCAAATTAATTGTTAGCAGTTTCGGATATGTTGCTCAGAGCAGCTTTCAGAAAGTCTCCAATCCACTGATCGGCAATCGGTGGATTGGATTCAGTAGCTGACCAGGTCGATTCAGGAATCAGCTTGATCCAATCCTGAATCGCCTGGTTTTGTCAGAGGACGGGACAATTTTTTTAGAGAATTGTCCATTCCTCCGACAGAGAACTACCCGATTCTCTATGAACACTGTAGCATTCCCTTTTTTTTTTTTTTTTAATACTTTTTCCCTTGATCCGCCATTTGTTTCTTGTTCTTCCTCATTTCAAAGCCAATTTCAATGAAATTTCTCCCAAATTCTTAATTTTTCAACCCCTTGGAAGAAGTACAATGGTATTTTTGGATAAAAAAACCCAATAACAGAAATGAGGAGGTCTAAATTTTGGGGGTTATGCCCCTTTATCAACACTGATTTTTTAGTTTGAATCAGATTATTGATTTTTATCTTGAAATCAAAGGATAGGGAAAGAAAAAGCACTCTGTTAAACCTGCAGTGGACTTTTGGTTGGAGTTGAAATCCTCAATTTTTTGAGCAAATTTTTTCTCAACATTTGAAAAGAATATTTCAAAAATTGAACATCTTTATTTGAGTTTATTAAATGATTTGATAAACATAAAATACATTCAGATCAAACAATTTGAGAGAAGTTTTGGTAATGACAAACAAAAAATCAAATAGTTAACTGAAACATGTTATATCAAATCATTTAAGCAATTAAAGGATTAAATTTTTTTTGAACCCTTTTTAAATATTTTTTATTTCTCTCAAACTGTTTTTATGTTTATCAAAGGTTTTGAATGATTTAAGCACTTTTTTCTAACTACAATGTGGAAAAACTGTCATATGTGACATGGTTTGGTTAATTTAAATTATGATTAAGGCAATTTTGATTTTATGTGACATAGGAGAAGTTGCCAGTTAATAATGAATATAGAGGATGCATGAGCAGTATCAAAATGGATGTCATCACCAAGCAACCTGACAGAGAGCCATTGTAAATAGGCTCTTAACTATCTTACGCAACATAACCTCCTAGAAAATAAACCACTGGGTACTAGCTGTGTTACACTAACACTTTGAGTTTTGCTTTGTGTTCATGTGTGACCTTAACACGTTAGCTTGTCTTTTCTCTAGTAGCCGTAATTGTCACTTTGTTTGTTGCTGTTGTATGTGTCGCCCTTGTTAGGGTGCAGGCATGATGAGTTGGTACATCATGTTGCATGTGTTGAGTTTTGACCAATTAGAGACAGCGTCGTGTATCCTGGTTATAAAAATGTCTGTTGTGGGTTTTGAACCCATAGACTCATAGCTTAAGAGTAAACACTGTACCAGTAGTAAACCACAAATGATGATTGTTAATTATCTTTCTAATTTTAAGTTCTAACAGGTACTTTTGCGTGTCAATTCAGTTATTTAGTTGACCATGTTACATCTTGTATGGAAAAAATACTTGTCAAAAAACTTAAAATAAAGGAACAGAAATACTGGATATCTTAAATTTTGTTGCACAAATAAATCTTATTTTTTGTTTTTATTTTTTGGAATCGCTGTCCTTTATGTGTGTGTGTGCGTGTGCATGCGTGCGTGCGTGTGCATGCGTGTACAGACATGTTGGGCCATACTGGCTTTTTGGCCTGAAGAACTAAACAGTTAAGACATGTTCTAGATATTGATACCCATCTTGGTGTCCATGTAACACTGCATACTAGGCACGATGTTCACTCATCAGTTGCTGGATTCTTGAAAGGAAATTACAGTAAACCATTCGGTATACTCCCAGTCCATTGGTGTCATCATGCTCCAATGAAATGGATCCTGGAGAGAGAGTTGGAGTCTCCAGAGCAGGACATGACTTCACTGGTCAGTCCCCTCTCTTTCCATCATTTCATTGGACAGTAACAAATGAGTAGACTATGGTTTTCTGCCATGGGATTACTTCTTGCGTGAATTATTTTTAGTGGGAGATGCACCTGGAAATATTGGTAGATCTTACTGGGAGATACACCTGAAGATATGAACTTTGGTTTTATATTCCAGATAAGATCTTTGAGGATCAAATTTAATGCGCATGGCCATTTTACTATGTTGCAGCTAGTTTTGGAGGGTGTTAAGGGGAGGCAGCACAATGATGATTTGCACATGGAAACACAAAGCATGGACAAGGAAGTGCACGAAAAGAATGTGTCTCTTGATGCCTACAGGCATAAAGTTGCTCATGTTGAGGAACAGGTAACTTTCCTCGGAGAATTATTATAAAACTGTTCCTGATGCTTCTTGGAGTTATATAAAACTTCAATTCAAAAAAGTTGAAGTATTTCTTTCCAAACCAAAGAAGTGCGAAATTTGGAATCATATGAAGAAGGAAACCGCCATTGTCTCTGAATCATGTTTGACTCTGGCAAAATTTGTATATACGAGGGCAAGTGTATGAATATTTGTCAATGAGCGTCATATACGAATTTAAAGTTTCTTAAAGGAATCAATCCAAATTTCGTTGTAATTTGGCAAAATATTTCGTGATTTCTCAAGCATTGCTTGCATGCTTATGCAGATAAAACTCTGTTCGGAGCACATTAGTAAGATTTCAGAGGAGGTGTGGCATAGCTCTCTCGCTTTGGAAAACACACGAATAAAAGCATTAGAAATACAGAGAGAATCTCAACAGTTAAAGCAGTTATTAGAGGAATCACGATCCAAGGCTGAACAAAACCGTCTAAGTGTTCTTGAGCTGCAGATTCAACTTGAGAATGAGAGGTTGGTTGGTCCAAAATCTTCTTCTTTTCTAGTTTGTAATGTTTTTTATTCTTGTATGTTTTCTTTGAGGTCGGTTTATCTAAATTTTGTCTCTTCAAAGTTTGTGATGAAGGCAAAAAATATAACGTAATCCATGTACAACAGAAGATTATATAGTCCCTTGGGATCATTGCTGTGTCTTGAAATGATGCATGGTGATGGCGAGAGTGGGACTCACCATAAAGGACATGATCCCAATGGTGGTCCCACTTTTTTTTTTTCTTCTCTCTCTCTCTCTCTCAATCTCAATCTCTCGCTATTTATATATATAGGAAAAATCTGTGATTAACCCACTAGCTCATATGAACATATGAGCCCAACGGCTCAGATTGAATCTGGGCTGATCTGACGATCACTAATATCGGGTAGTGCTTGAAATTTTTTTTTTTCTACAAATCCAAATCACTTGAAATTTTACGTGTGTGTTCTTCTCATCAAGGCGCTCCTAATAAAAATATAAAAAGAATTATTGGCCAAAAACAAAATGACGAAAATACC